TATATATATATAAATATATATATATGTATGTATTGAGAAAGAGAGAGAGCACTGGATTCTCAGAAGGTTCTTTCAAAGGAGGATGAAGATGAGAAGCCAATGATTCACCATAGCCATGACATTATCGATATGCCAAGCTAGCTGTTGCTAAAGCCCTTGACAATAGTAGAACACAAACAACCCACACACACACACACACGCGCATGCGCGGACGAATGAACACACCCACCCATCCACACATATATATCCATAGATATATATATATATATATAGCGAGAGAGAAAAAGGGGGGGAGCACCTACTCTCATGAAGGTTCTTTGACAGGAGGATGGAGAGAAGAAGCCAGTGATTCTCTAGAGCTATGATGTTATTAATATGCTAAGCTAGCCATTGCTAAGGCCCTTGATTATAATAGAACATAAAGAATCACTTCAGAAGTACAGAAGTTAAAGAAGCATTCGAGAATTAATTAAAGACATCCGAGAATAAAAAATTCATCTTCTACAGGAGGTTACTTGCTTAAACAAAAGAAAATGTTATCGACACAATGTCTACCATCAAGCAAAGAACTTATAGAACTTTATCGTACATGTGTTAGTGACTTGGATTCTATCCAGGATTCACGATTGCATGCCATTGAGGAACAATAGTTCTCTGTATGTGGTGTGTGTCTGTATATAGTTTTTATTTTATGTTATGATCAACTACATAATTTCTAGCAGCTTGCCCAAGAAAAATAATTTTAAGGATGATAACTCCATGCATGAATTGAATTCATAAATCAAGAGGCCGTTGAGCAATAGGATTAGAATCAAAAAGTGGATTTTTTGCTTATTCAGGAACCAAAGTTGAGACACACGAAAGCTCTTACATTCTCTTGGATGTGGGTCCATTTGGTAAAATGCTTCCTTGAGTAGTTCTGCAGTAGTGGGACATAATGTTGTGATCATCGAAAAAAAATCCAATCAAGCCTAAGCCAAATTTGGATACTCAAAAACCCCGAGATGATGGCTGAAAGGAATATTCTTCTTCATGATAAACAAGGGATTGTATACAATGAGACCATTACTTCTCATACACAATTGTCACAAACAACCCAAGCTGTTAGGAGAAAAATCAGACTCTGGGGTATGTCATTTCCCAACACCAATTTGAGGAAAAGTTTTTTGAACTTCAGGTGGGAACATGGTCCCGTCCTATTTCAAATCTAATGGCTAGGGTTGATTTTGACCATTTCATATCAAAGGTAAAAGGTCCTACACTATACTTTAACTTAAAACAAAGTTGAACTAGGAATCTTTTTTATTGGCTAGTGAGAGCCGTTCATGAGAAAATACACATGATAAGAATTGATAGCTCACCAAAGGTTGTCCAGACATCTACTCCAAAGTCCCAATTTGCATTATTGGTCAATTAGGTTCATAACAACAAAATCACTAGGCAAGAGGAACAAGCAAATTGAAGGTAAGAGGAAAATTGAAGGATGAAGAAATCTAACTGCTCTTCTGCAGGAGAAGAATTGGAAATGTAACGCAACTAAGAGAAGTAGTTTCATTGTACATCTATTTGATAGCCAATAGATGGATACATCTAGCACATAGATGGATACATCTAAGCATGACAGAAAGGTCATTCACTAATTTGATTTCGACAGATTAACCAACTTGTATGCCTAACATTGTAGGTAAGAAATATATAAGGGAAAGAAGAGATTGGAAAGCTCATCACTTCAAGTTGAAAAAAAATAAGTATATGAGAGTTCCAACCGTCATTTTACCTTTACAGTAGGATCACCATTTCCACAACCATCATCAGGATCACAAGTGATAATTCTCACACCTGCTGGATTATTCTTCCTCCGCTTAATAGATCTAGTGGAGAATGCAACATTTCTACCCATTTCATCAATTGAGGGCCCTAGATTAACCAATTCCAAAATTAGAATTGTTCCATGAAAAAATTGGATAGCAATAGGATTATAGGAAAAATTAAACAAAAGCAAAGCAAACAAATGTAAAGAATGAGACATACAAAGATATATCCCAATCAGTCACTGAGCATTAAGAAATAGAATATATAAGTTGATCCATCGGGAAAAAAAAATTACAAGTTGCATGAATGCTTCAACATGCAAAGGCATATAATAAAGTAGCCAAAAAAAAACCAAACAAGGCCAAAGGGGTGGAATATTGTCCCTGAGCATCACCTCTTTATCCACTTCAGCTCTAAACAAGAATTGGCTTCCTGATTGGCATCTCAAAGGTAATCGTCTACTGTAAACAGAATCCTCTGACTTATCGCTGCTTCCTCCATAATATCTACAATCTTTCATGGGTATGTTGTCCCTAGCCTTGTTCACAAGGACGGCCGGCAATCTAGGCGTTGAGGTGCCTAGGCGCCCACTTGGGGACTCAAGAGGCTGCCTACGTGCCTGAAAAAGCCTAGTCGCCTAGGTGGCACCTTGATGACCTTAGCAAGAGGACAAATAAATGCCCTTTGCCCACGGCAAATATGTTACTCCCCATTCTTTTTTTAAAATCCATCTTTCATTGGTTTTCACGAGGGAAATTTCAAAAAAATAAATATTTTTTGAAGATTGAAAGGATTTGTGAACCTTTTTACATTTTGAGAAAAGCATTCTACCCTATACTATGGATTGAAATGGTTGTGAAAGAGGACTTTCAGAAACCAATAGTCAGTGATTAGCGCCCAGATCAGTTTCATTTTAAAAAGTTAGCATATTTATTTTTATGAATATTGAGTAGATTTATTTTTTCTATATTTTTTTTAAGTTTAGTTCTGGATTTGTGGCCCATATGCAAGAATGGGTTTTGGTTTGTGTTTAATGGAATCTTATTAAGATTGGGTAACCCAACCTCAAGAAAATGCCATTAAACTTGGGGCATGTTTGAGTGCACTGGACATCACTGACAATTCATTGTTTCAATGAAATTATTCATGATAATGAACAATCTATTGTTTGGTAGTGTCCATCATAAAGTTATCTGAGATAAAACTTGTAGGTAGTTTTACATATAAATTTTTTTTTTTTTGAAAACTTGTTTCTACTTTAATTAAAGTAATTTGCCAAAAACCACTTGTTTTTTGCCAAAAATAGCTGATGGCTGGAAATCACGAAGATAAATATCAAACAGCTAACAAAACGATATTATCCAGAATATATTAATTTTAGATAAGAAAGTCTACTCCAAATAAATTTCAATGTCATCCAAACAGGCCCTTAATCCAAATGGACTTTTTTCTATTTAATGGATCCTAATTTGTCTCTTTTTTTCTTTTTAAAAAAAATGAAGGATGATTGTACATCAACATAAAAGCCAACAGGCTACCCACACACCGGGACCTCGAAAACATAAAGAAGAATCTCTGGAAGAAGAGGAATCTGTTGAAGAGGGTGATGATTCTGATGATGAAGGCCCCAATTCTGATGCAGATGAAAGCAATGAAGATGATCATTCTGATTCTTATTGATGTCTTCCCTCTTCTTTTGTAGTGACTTTACTGCACCATCTTTGTTTGGGCTTTAGACATTTGGACTATTTTTATTTTGTTATGTGGTTTATACTTTTCTTGCCTTGTTGGACTATTTTGTTGTGCGGTTTACTGGTTTTTTATAGTTTTGAAAGTCAATTTGTTGACGACTTGGAAAGTTGGAGACTTGGATGTCATTATGGTTTATTTTATGGATATGGAATATGAGAATATGAGAGTTAGAGACATTAGACTTTTAAATATTTTTTATGGTTTGAAATTTTGAATAAGTTTATTCTCAACTTGAGATATGTGATATGTTTGTATCAGTGTTTTAAAAATCGTCGAGTCGGCACTGAATCGGCCGATTCGAATCTAGAATCGATCATCCAGTGTTGATTCTTTTGTAAAACCAGGAATCGCCTGATTCTAGAGAAGAACCGGTGATTCTGTACAGTGCATCGCCGGATGACGTAATGACTCGCCCGATTCTATGGTCAGATGACATAATGACTAGTCCGGTTTTGTGCACGCGCATGACATCAAGAGTCACAAGGGGCATTTTTTTAATTTTTCAGTTACAATGGGCACCTATTGTCAAACGCTCGTGCTCCTCCATCACAAAACCACACTGCTACGTGCGTTTCACGCGCGACTAGCTTTGATAGCAAAAGACTATTTATCCTTACCAAATTTATTCAGTAGTTTCGATCTGGGACAATTGTGCTAAGGCAATAGCTCAGAAAGAACTATGGTACTATTATTAAGTGGCCTCTTTGAATCACAACTTAACGTTTGACGTGGTGGTTAGCGTGCTGTTTTAGTGCGATGGACGTCGCAGGATCAATTCCTGCCCAAGTGCCATCGTTCCTTCACAAACAAATAAATTTTTTCCTTTTTACAAAATAATTTTTAAAAAATAAACAATAAAAGTTTTTTATAATAAAATATATGACTTGTAAAAAAAAAGCTGTAAGGTTCTTGTCAAAAAAAAAAAGGTAATGCAACAAAAAAAAAATTTCTTGTCAAAAAATAAAAGCTTATTGTAAAAAAAATATAAGGTTCTTGTAAAAAAAAAAAAAAAAAAAGGTAATACAACAAAATTTCTTTTTCTTGTCAAAAAATAAAAGTTTATTGTAAGAAAATATAAGGTTCTTGTAAAAAAGAAAAAGTTATACAACAAGTATTTCTTATTCGTTTTTAATCCATAATAATTCTATGCTTTTTCTTTTGTGTAATGTAAATAAAATGGTAAACGGGAAAGAACATATTAATATTGGCATATTCATGCAAAAAAATGAAAATTCGTAATGGAGTACCCCCATTTCTTATTAGATTCCTAAAAAACAACATTTATAATGAATTTTAATAATTTTTTTGGATTTTTTTTAAGGCTTAATTCGATCGATTCTCGATCCGGATCACCGATTCACCAATCCGGATGGTTTTTTGAGGTGTCCAATCCGGGTCACTGATCCATTTTTTAAACCACTGGTTTGTATATAAAAACGTATGTTGCGAACTTGTGATATTTTCAAATGGAATAAATTACAAAATTTGACACAAATATATGCACATATGTGCATTTGGATAGCAAATATATAAAAATATGCTAAGAGTTTGCACCACAGGGCGCCCGAGGTTCTGGGCGCCCGCCTAAGCACTAGGAGTTGGGCAGGCCACCTAGCATTTTTTGAAACTTTGCCCTTTAACACCCCACAATGGTGGAGCATGTCAATGGATCTATTGGAAACATCTGCCACAATTGTAAAAAGTATAAGGGATCAGGGGTCCCCTTGCCCAAGACAACAAGGGGCAGGGAGAAAGCCTTGTGGGGGGCATCGATAACAACTGAGTAACAGGCGAAGAAAGTATATGTGGATCCAAGCTCTTGATTTGTAGCTGAAACCCATGAAGTGCAAGACCTTGTCTAGGACTCCCCAATCCACATGGTTAAGTCTAATTTATAGTTCAGTCTAGGGATTTTCGAGAGTAAACATTAACCTATGCGCTCACTGGCGATGAGAGCACCATCATGGGTTTGCCAACTTCCAAGAAAGCACCTTGGTTTGGGGAAATGACTTGGTCTAATAATTGGGGCAGTCCGGAGGCGAGCACCTTCGATAGGATCTTAAAGGTTCTGTTTAACAAGCTGGGCCGATCTAAAATTGTGACTTCCGCAGCACCCTCCAGTTATGGGACAAGTAATGAAAGTTGCATTCATACCTTTTGATGATGCCTCCCCCTATCATTGACGTTGGCAAAACCATGCACAGACACCCAAACCAAGGAGTCTTAAAACTTGTGGAACAAGACAACTGGGAAGGCGTTTACCCTACATGCCTTGTCATGGCCCATGTTTGCGATGGCTTTGAGGATTACCCTTTCCATAAAGGGCCTTGATAACCAAACCGAACTATTTAGTAAGATGGTTGGAACTGAATATTATCTATCCATGGTCTAGGGACATCTCAACACAGAAAAGCTTTTCAAAGAAGGAAAACCTTGAATGGATTTTACCAAAAAAACTATCGAGTTTGAAAGATATCTTGATGCTCTTTACAGGGGCCACCCCCATCTTTAATGTAGAAGATGGCATTTACTCTTCCACAACAATTTGCACAATTTATGGAAGAAAGAGTGCTCATGTCCCCCGCACAAAGCCATTTAAGCCTAGGCCGCTGATGCCAATATATCTTCGCTTGTTTCAGTGTGCCCTAGAGATTTTCGGGAGATTTGTATTTGACAAAATTCTAACATCATGGTTAGAGAGGGCCGGACCTCTTTGTTCGCCCTGTAAATCTTAATCCTAAATTTTTGTATGTGACCAATTTTTGGCTGGGAGGGGAACCAAATTGTCCCTATTCCAGGGAATCAACTTACGTTTGAGGAATTGAAGGTTCTTGCAAATTTTGAAACCTAACCATCCCTCAACCTCTATTGAGGACCACCATTGCATGAAAACGAAATGGAGAATTTGTCCTCCACCACATCCTGTAGCACCTCAAAGATCTTGGCCCACAGGAGTTCAGCAAGAGGGTGGGTCACAGTAGAGATCCCCCAAGAAGTATTCCCAATCCGCATTGATCAAGAATCTATTGGACAAGGTTGGGGAGGGCTGTTTATTGGACCAGACAAAGAGGCCCCTTGCAAGGGAGGCTGAAAAGGCTATTTCAATGGACGAAGTCCAAAAAAATAGCCATTTTAGATGTAATTCGAACCCATATTCGTTTGTTTTGAAGACTAGATGGTGACATTGAATTCTCCACCGATGCACCACGAGAGAGGGAATAGGGAGTGAATTCAATCCAATCCTTCCCAGAGGAGATTAATGAGAAAGCACTCATGTGAACCATACAGCAGGAACTCGCCAGAAAAAAAGTTGTGAGAGAAGGAGATGAAGATTAAGAAGGGGCTGCATGGGTGTCAACAAGGGTTAACAGGTGGTCCCTACTTCCAAGGGACGCATATACCACCTGAAGGGTGCCGGGTTGATAGAGAGACCAAGATACATGTCCTTGGCCCCAGATCGAGATTTTCCATTCATAAGTTTAGGGTGGTGCCATTATCTTATATAGGATTGCATGGTTTAGGAATCATGCGTCAATTTCTTCTTCTTTCTTTCTTTTTTTCTCCTTTTCGTTTAGCACTTCTAGCCCATGTTGACTTGATCGTCATGCAGAGAAAGTGTGCGATCATAAACATATAGGGCACAAGAGTGCAGGAGCAAATTTGACGGAGTGTGGGCACTACATTGGTTTGTTGGTTTGTGTAGTAAAGCAAGAAAAGCAGTGGGTGGATAGATCACCATTCAAGTCTACCATAGCTAAATTGCCCATTTAGCTCAAGTCCCATTGCAGGTCCATTTGGAAATTTGTAAAAAGTGAACGACCACAAGGTAAGATTAAGATTCACAAAAGTCAAAGAATCAAAATAGCATGAAACAATTATTTTTCCTCTTCCCAATAAGTAGTTACGAAGTGGTTGCATCATGGAAGTTAAAAATAAATAAATCTTAACCATGAAGATATCAATAAAAATGCAAAGAGATGATGTTTTATTTAAGAATTCCGGACTTCAACCCACATGCGGAATATGTATGGAGAATGGTTAGAATTACCTGAATGGTTAGCAATGGGTTCGTCATCGACCATTATTGGAACTCTCTCTTTTCTTTTGGACCGGTTTCTGGCCTAGCAAGAAAATGAGGAAAAAAAATAAAGAACAAAATCCCACAAGGAATAACGCAAAACTAGACACGAAATTGGAAGAGCAAACAATTCAACAAGCTCATATGCACCCCAAATTAGATCCCAAATTAACCCCTCAACCATTAATTAAAAATTTAAACCATCTAAAAGCATATGGATTGAACAGAAATAGTTAGAAGTAAGAAGCCCATGTCAAATACATGGTCAGATTTTAAAAGTCATAACCAGAAACACAAAATAAGTAGAAGTCATCACAGCCCAATTTCCCATTTTTCTTGTGCTTAGAAGCTCAATTGTTGAGATTCAACATACCCAACACAATATGAAAGAACTGTAAGACTCTTAGCTAACATTGTAATAATATTCATGCTTGTAATGATTATCTTCGCATATCAAATCCAATTTTATCCAACTTCAAAACTTACAATATGACCTTTAGTACCAAAGTAGTCCAAAGCATGTAATTTTCATTCCGTCCAAGAGTTCCAACATGTGATCAAACTACACTTTCTTTCAAAGTGCTTCCTTTAGAGTTCTTTCAAATTTAAATTCCTTCAATTTAAATTAATTCAATTTTACTCATTATGTTAATAGAGCTGATGACCTTACAGACTTTAGGCCTATCAGCCTCCTAAACTCTTCCTACAAAATTCTCTCTAAAATCCTTGCTACCAAGCTCAAACCTTGCCTTAATCAAGTTGTTTCCTAAAACCAGAAGGGATTTGTCCATAACAGACAGATCCTTGACTACGCCATGCTTGCCCACAAACCAATCCATTGTCTTATCTAAGATGGGGTTCCTTGAAAAACGGATCCATTGGATTCATGCTTGCATTTCCACCACCTCCTTTTCCATCCTTCTCAATGGCTCCCCTAAGGGATACTTCTATCCATCAAAGGGTTTGCATCAAGGGGACCCCCTCTTACCCTTTTTATTTGCTATTTTTTCGGAAGTCTTTGGCAGATCCATCTTCGTCTCTACGAACGTGGTATTCTTGAGGGATTCAGACCTTCAAGGCATGGCCCTCCTCTTAGTCAACTGCAATACGCAGATGACACACTTGTTTTTCTAGATGCCTCTACCCAGCAGATCGACTCTCTTTGGACCTTAGGTGGTTTGAACTTGTTTCGGCCATGAAAGTGAACATTACTAAGTCCAAACTTCTTGGCATCCATGTCCTGGAGAAGCAACTCCTCTTCTTTGCCGCCAGACTAGGCTATGGCATTGACTTGTTTCCTTCCAAATACCTCAATCTTCCTCTTTGCATCGGCAATCTCAGGAAAGCTCTTTGGGATCCCATTACCAAGAAATTCCACAAAAAGTTTGCTTCTAGGAAAGATCGCCTCTTATCCCTTGAGGGTAGAATTACCCACATCAAATCGGTGCTTTCTAGCATTACCATTTATGCCATGGACATGGTTCGTCATGCCTGCCTCCACCATTGCAACCCTTAATAAGATTATGAGACATTTCCTTTGGTCCTCTTACCCCTCCAAGAAGAAGATCCCTCTGGTTTCTTAAGAGAAGTATACCAACCTAACAACGCTGGTGGCCTTGGTATTTGTGACCTTAAACTCACCAATATCGCCCATTTAGGCAATTGGTGGTGGTGTTTTGCCACTAGTCACAATTCCCTTTGGCACTAGGTCCTCAAAGATAAATATGGGTCCGACCTTTCTGACTAGTTCTTCTTGGACAATCCTAGGCTAGCCACCTCTGCCTTTTTCAAAAGCATATTCTCTTGTCAAGATTTGTTCTTGCCGCTTACTCGCTTTCGAGTGGCCTCCGGATCAAAGGTTCTTTACAGGAAGCACCTATGGATTGGAGACACGGCACTTAAAGACCTTTGGTCAGCACTCTTCGCCCTCGCTTCCGATCCTAATGCCTAGAAGACCACTCACCGAGAATGAATTCTAACTCTTACTCAACCTTCTCGGCTTCCTATCCAACTTTTTGTTGGAGGTATCGCGATTGACAAACCTATATGGTCCAAACATCCTTCTGGTAATTTCTCAGTTGCCTCCTTCTAGCTTGCCATTACGCCTCAATCGCCACCCAATCCCTCCATACACCATAAAGCATGGATTGTTGACACCCCACCTAGAGTCCAAGCTTTCTCTTGGCTTGCCATCTCACAATGAAACCTTACCCATGATCAACTTCAGAGAAGAGGCTTTAATCTTGCCAATCGATGTGTCCTATGTGAACAGGAGGAGGAAACACACCCTCACCTTTTTATTCACTGCCCCTATACTCAGAGTGTGTGGTCTAAACATCTTAGTGATTTCAGTTATTCTTGGGTTACCCCACTAGACATCCCCGACCTCTTTACTGCTTACTTTTCTCCATCGTTGCCCTCATCTAGGATTTTCATGTGGCATTCATCCATTCAAGCCACCCTCTAGTCCATTTGAAAAGAACACAACTCTCGAATTTTCAAGCGCAGCAAATATTTAGTTGCCGCCACAGCTGATAAGGCTAGAGAACTTACAATTTTGTGAGCCTCCAACTACAAACTTCTCAGAAGCCTCTCCTCCTCGGACTTCCACCAAAACTAGCTCTCCATTGCCAATTCTAAGCATCCAAGTTTGTCACGCTCAGGAATATAGCAACCACCCCCCGATGGTAGCATCAAAGTGAACATTGACGGTTGCTCGTTAGGCAACCTAGGTCCCTATGGAGTGGGTGATATTTTCAAGGATGTAGATGGCTCTTCCCCTCTCATATTGGCCAAGGGGACTCAAACTGGGTAGAAGCTATCGCCCTACTTGAAAATCTAAGAAGATTCAACCACAACTAGGGCAACTCTCTCATTGTAGAAGCCAACTCTTGCAATGTAATTGCTTGGGCTTCCAACTCAACATCCCCCCCCCCCACCCCGCCGGCGTTTGTTTAACATATTCGCCCATGTAGACCACCTTAGCACGCCACTACAAGTCT